TACAAATAATGCCTCCATATATATTCTTGTAATTGTTTTCCCTGGCGTATTGGTACAAACATTTCTTTAGGGTGATTGTTGGTTGCAGGGACTACACCCTCTCAAATTTACTAGGTAATAAAACATTATTTTCCGAGATAGCTGTACCAATTTATCCTCCCTACTACAATTTTGTGGGCAACAATTTTGTCGCTCCTTGTTTTCACCGATTATTATTAGACTTGCACATTTTGTCGTGTGTGTGTTTTAACGTTTATTCATTTTTGAGAGGCAGAGAGTGCAAGCAGGGGTCGGGCAGAGAGAGAGGGAGACCCAGAATCTGAAGCAGGCTCCAGGCTCTGATCTGTCAGCACAGAGCCCAACGCAAGGCTCGAACTCAAGAGCTGTGAGATCATGACCTGAGCCGAAGTTGGAGGCTTAATTGACTGAGTCACCCAGGCACCCCTGTCATGCGGTTTTAATTTGTATTTTCCTATATTCTTCTAAAAGTTTTAATGTTCTGCCTTTTTCATTTAAGTTCTTGATCCATATAAATTTTATTTTTATGCATGAAGTTATATACTTACCTGTTCTTTTCAAATTTTCCTTTTGTTTCTCATTGTTAAGAAGAATTTTCAAAAGGATTTTTCTTCTCCCTTATCTCTTACCCCACCTCTTTTGAGGAGACTCAAAGGATTTATCAAAGAATATGAAAGGAGCTCCAGAGAATATACTTTTTAACGATTAAAAATATAGGGAGTTTTTACTGGACATAAAACTCCACTAGTTCACACGAGGCCAAAAACTGTTGGAAATTTACTAATTCCTGTATCCTACAAAAAGCAACCCAGTTTAGATTAATAATAATGGTTTAAGAAATTTCGGTCATAGGGGCACCTGGGTGGCTCAGTCAGTTGAGCGTCCGACTTATGCTCAGGTCATGATCTGACAGTTTGTGAGTTCAAGCTCCGCGTCAGGCTCTGTGCTGACAGCCCAGAGCCTGGAGCCTGCTTCAGATTCTGTGTCTCCCTCTTTCTCTATGCCCCTCCCCCATTCACGCTCTGAATAATAAAACATTCTTTACTATAAATAAATAAACATTTAAAAATAAACATTAAATTTTTTTAAATGTAAAAGAAATTTCAGACATAAACATAAAAAGTTTATAGTATCGAACCATGAAATGATGATCACTGCATCTTTATTTAAACAGCTGAGGCACTGAGATTTTAAAACTTGATATTTAATGTTAAATATGACATACTGAATATGGTACAAATGATAAACTATTTTAGACAGTTGACGCATGGTCTCCAGCCTACACAGTAGTAAGAATATACTAACTCATATGGCATCTTCATCAACATTACTAAACAGTGAAAAACTAAAAACTCACTAAAAACCAGTACCGTACAATCTCAGTGCTGAGCTGGACACATATAAATGTGGATGAATATAAAGAGGTGATACACAAAGGGAAATGCAACCATTTAACAAACATGAATAGGTACCCAACCTCAGAAACCAGGGAATTAGTGTGAATTAAAATAATAATGAATAACATTTCAGGTGTCACAAATTAGCACACTGACTTCTGGTGGTGTATATAATCCTTTTGCAAAGGTAATTTGAGGCAAACTGCATTGTAGACTTTAAGAGTATCCACATTTCTTGGCTGAAACTTAACTTTATGGAATCTATCCTACGGAAATAATTTGAAAATTAAAAAATCTTAAGGTACTAGGATATTCACTGTAGTGCTGTTCTACATATATACATACATGAAGTAGCAAGAGTGGAAATAGCTTGACAATGCTTAAGAGACATATTTATATACATGGTCTCTACACACACACACACACACACACACACACACGGGGTATTATATAGTACTATGAAAATAGTCTCTGTAAAATACTTCCCTATGTATTGCATAAAGAAGAAAACATAAAAGTGTTTAAATTATGTTAAAAGAAGAAAACAAGCAAAATGTGCATCCCTGATAGTAAAGTTGGAAGAAAACAATGACACAATTGAGTTTGTTGAGTATTTCCCCCTTCTTTCAAGTATCTTTATTCAAAATTAAAATTCTGAGTTTGCATTGCTTGTATAATAGACACCTATCAAGTGAAATACAATTTTTATTATTAAAATTAACATGAAAAGTACTCCATGCTTTTTGATGCGGCATCTGTTAGTGGCAAAAGAGTAGAAGACACAGCAGTCACTGATGCTGTAATCAGAAGACGGAGACATGGAAGACGGGGAGGATTGCCGTAGCTTGTGTGCAACTCACTTCTAGCCGTAGTTTCAAATGCATGTGCATAAATATGATCATCGGAAACTAAGGGAAACACTTCATTGCATTGGGGAAAATCTACCCATGACTCAACCCACAGTGTTCATGCACAGTCTTCACATTTCAAAGATATAAACGATTCAGTATATGCAGGTGAGAGGCCAATAGCATTATTTGTACAAAAGTAAGGCATAGCCCAGTATTCCTCTTTATTGACAGAAAATAAAGGTAGAACTCTTTGAAATGTTGAGATGAAATAACCAACCATGTAACTTGATATTGCTAAGCTGGTTATTTGGTGAACAGGGAGAAGGAGCAATGGAACATTTTTGAGTGCACATCTGTAAGTGCCAAACACTTTACTACATTATCTTACATTATCTCATAATGATGCTACTGAGTGGATAGTTTGGGCTCTCATTTACAGAACTGATTTACAGAGTCCGACTTACAGGTGAAGAAACTGAAGTTCATAGTCATGTGACATGGCCAAGCTTAATTAGCACAGTGCCTGGCATATAGTAAGGGCTCAATAAATACCTTTTGAATGGACGGTAGGTGATATACCCAGTAAAAACAAATGCCAGGGTTTAAAATTAGACCTATCTGGTTACAAAGCCCACACTATTTCCTTCACAATACCCCGACTTCTGTGTGAGACGATGCAGAATTGTTTTTAAATGGCTAAGAAAGATCATTGCCAATGTAAACATGGTTAATAAATTTAGGAACCTATGATTTGTACCTTCATACCAGATTTATTTCAAGGTCAAAATGTATGCTTAGTAAAGGATGAGAAAAGATAGAAAACACACAGAGGATCTTCAAGGGCTTTTTTAATTCTTAAAAATATATAGTACATGAAAGTAACACAAATCCATATCAATACATTATATTTGCATGAAACATTTAATTAGTTAATATTGTTCTTCCCTGTTTTGGTTGTTGAATTCTACCAGCTTCTTTAAAAATATTTTTATGCCAATATCATCAAAAATGTGTTACTTTAATTTTATGAATGTCAGGTGCTATGTCTCTTTTCCTTCTTTGCCCTACACACCAAAAACTTATTTGAAAATGCTAAAATAGTAAAATGTTTTACTTTCTTAGCTGCTCTGCATCCTGTGTTAAAATATCTGACAACTATACAAGTTGAAAATAATAAATACATGTAAGTACACTTGTATAAAATATGTTATTAGGTAATACAGCTCTTCTTTTAAAAAAGTTCTCCCAAAGTTTGAAAAATATTTCCTATGAAAACATCATCCAAAACGTATTTTAATTTTTACGAATGTTAGGTGTTAAGTCTCCCTTTTCTTTTTTGTCTCATACCTAGGCCCCAGTTACTTGAAAATACTGACAAAATGTGGTATGCTTTCTTAGCAGTATTGTAACCTGTATTAAATGAAGTATTTTACAATTATAAAAGTTGAAAAGTAATTTTATTCATTTTCTTGAATATAATCTCCTACCTACCATATATGAACTAATCTATGGAATTAAGTCATTTGTTATCTCAAATGTAGAGGGCCAAGGACATAAGGGAATTACAAAGACTCTGAGATGATTAACTTAAAGCAGATAGATACTAAAATACTACAGATGTGGCATATTTACTATCAAGCACAGACAGTCTTTGCGTTTGGCAACATCTTCAAGATAACTATTTCCAACTGCCAAAGCACTGTTGTTGCATAGGTTTTATATTGGAGGAGAAGATTTATAAAAATATCAATGTCCTCATCTAAACCCAAACATAAATGAGAATTTAGAAATTTGTTATTACAAAAGATGGCGATTGGAAAGATAGTAATCGGAAAGAAAGACTATGTCCAATGAGCTACAGGGCTGTCAAGATGAAAATGCCTTTGCTTCATTCGGGATCTAGAATCTTAAAATCTCATATGACAAATTTAACTAGATTTTCTTTTCTGATTATGTTTAACCCCAAAAGTTGGTCATGTACCATAGCAATTTTTATTTTATCTGGATGTTAAAAGAAAAACCACTGGATTATAAAGATAGATTAATAACCTGTTGAACTTAGGTTGGGAACTAATCAATAGAAAATACCTATCTGGTTGGGTAAATAAATTTCAAGAGATACAAAACATTATAAAATAGGTTGTTATTAAAAATATTTAAACTGAAATGATAAAAAAAATATTAAAAGCTAATAAAGATCTTTCCTGAGGGTTAGTAAAAGCAAAAACAACCTTAACAGACACGCAGTTACACACAAATTTCCTCATGGAGGTAAAGAAGTTGTGATCCGAATCAGGATTTTATGGAAGTGTCTTTCAGAAACTGCATTAGTCTATTCTAAGTGGTTTAAAGAGTTTCAGCTGGTACATGCTGGTACCAGAGAAAATCTGAAATAATTCACCTAGTTGGATGCAAAAGGACTTACATCTCCCCTTGATTTATTAAATCTCATTGTTCTTTTACATGTATTTTTCTTTAAAACTTTAAGATGGACATTCGTTTCTGCAGAATGAGATGATTTCGTCCTTTAAATAACAAGCTTAATAAGGCTGACATTCAATGGAAAACAATGAAACAATTTACCTTTTAGTAATCAGAATAACTAAAATATTTTTATCATCTTCTTTTTAAGGATCCCTTATTAAAGCTTGTGATTTTCTTTTAATGTAAATAAGCCAAAGTGATGGTTTTCTACACACCTCCTTGCATCACAGTGTGATAGGTAGTCTCGTTGTCAGTTAACCTTTAATACTCTGTACATACTATTTTGAAATACTGTGGTGAAGTAGGGCCTCGGGTCCGTGAGCAAGACGCTACATAAGGGAGGATTAGCTGTATTGGAAGGGTCTTCCACATCCCAAATTTCCAGCATACTGCACCCAGGCCTAAAAAAAAAAAAAAAAAAAAAAAAAAAAAAAAAAAAAAAAAAAAAAAAAAGGCACATATATACCTATATTAAAAATGCATTCAGATACAGGGGAAATAGGTAAATTATAAAGTAGCTCCAAGTTTGTTAGAGATTAATTTATTTAATAAAGGTTTTAAAGCATCATTTAAAAAAAATATCAGTTCAACATTTAGAGATAAAAATGAAATTATGCTGCATTTTCCTGTTTCACTTAAGCAAATAATCAGTATATTATTAAGCCTACCAATAAAGGTCCAATATACATTCAGAAATACGTATTTAAAAATTTATTTTCAAAATGAAATATAAATAGATATATTTTCAAAGTGGTGTCACCATCCAAGCATAAGGGCCATGAGTAGTAGGAGACAAATTAAAGGAGAGCTAATCTGATTCCTGATGAATTTCATATTTTTGAGCTTAATCTAACTTAGATTACCATGAAAACATATAGTCCAAGGTGAGGAAAGAAAGCTCTTTTGCCAGATTTGTTTTCTTCAACCCTTTCCTATTTGGGGTGGCTCTATGATTCAACTGCCTGGGATAATATTTCCCACTAGAGAATAACCCCACATGAGAGTCAGTAAAGGGAAGAAGTCAGACGAAATTGACTTAAAAAAAAAAATTGTTAAGTTTATTTATTTTGAAAGAGAGAAAAACAGAGCACATGAGTGGGGGGGGGGAGAGAGTGAGAGAGAGAGAGAAAGAGAGAGAGAGAGAGAGAGAGAGAGAGAGAGAGAGAGAGACAATCCCAAGCAGGTCCTGTGCTGTCAGCACAGAGCCTGATGTGGGGCTTGAACTCATGAACCGTGATACTATAATCTGAGCCAAAGTCAAGAGCTGGATGCTTAACAGACTGAGCCACCCGGGCACCCCAAATTGACTTTTATTTTTCAATAGCTATATTGTATACAATTTGTATACAATAAAATGTACCCATTTTATGAGTAAAGTTTGATAAATATGGGCAAATATGTATAGGTGTGTAAGCACCACCATAATCGTAATACAGAAAATCCCCAGCACTGAAACAAGTTCCCTTGAGCCCTTCTGCAGTCAGTGCTCTCGCCCAAACTTAGCCCAGGCAAACACTGATCTTCTTTCTGCAATATAGTTTTGCCTTTTCTAGAATATTCTAGATATTTATATTCACTACAGCTTTCATGTGTTACTCACGTGATAACAATTCCATCCCTTTTCTTTCAATCTATACATGTATTTGTACTTAAAATGCATGTCTTAACGGGCAGCACATAGTTGGATTTTGCTTTTGTATTCAGTCTACTACTAATCTCTGCCTTTTGATTTGAGTGTTCAGTCACATTCTTATTTGTGATTACTAAACGTTGTTTGATTTAGGTTTGAAGGTCACAAATTCAGAGAAGTTCTTCAAGAGCAAATTTTTCTCAAGTTTCTCCCTGCTTTTGTGTCACTTTCTAGAGACTTCAAATAGTTGTTTTTAATACCATTAAACCTAACTTTGCATGCATCCTGTTAACTGAAGCATCTGCATATTGGAACTATGTCCTTGCTTTGAGTAGTGCCATGGTAACTCTTAGAGGACACAGTTCCAATACACATCAGTTAACATGACGCTGAGCTCCATGGAACCATGCAAAGCAAGAACACAGCTTTGACATGCTCAAGTTTCACCTAATATAGTACCATGCAAAGTGAAGAGTACCTGTGTTTTCACCCGATTCTTATAACTGTAATATCTGCGAGCATTAACTCAACCTTTTCCTGCCAATATTAACTGAACTCCTTCCAAAACTGGTTTCTTATGGGTCTTATGTTCAATTTCTTAGGGCCTTAGACAGACTAATAACTTCTAAATCCAGTTTGCCCAAACTAGAAAATCCAATTCGCACTTTTCATTATTTTCCTTAAATGTCACACAGCCTTAGGGCTTTCAGGTAAGGAGTATGTGATACTTAATAGAACAGAGTTGTGAAGAAAAGCAAAAGCAGCCAATTTTGTAAAAAGATTGCCTTGAGAGAAAATGTGCTATTCCTTCTTTACAACTTATTCCTTCCGTTCTCAGAAGGCTATTAGTGATAGCTGTAAAAATGTTTTTCTAAGTACCAGAATTTTAGAAGAGTTCTTCTTTGCATAAATATTTACTTGTATATTTAGAGTAAGTTGTTTACATAATTACATAAGTAAAAACACACAGATCTCAGTGTACAGCTCCATGAGCTTTGACAAATGCATCCACCCATATAAAAAACATGTCAATCAAGATAATGAACACTGTCATTCTTCTAGGAAAAAGAAAAAAAGTTCTTGAATCCCTTTACAGAGTATTCCCACCACCACGTCCACCCCCTGCTCCACCATAACCAACTGCTATTCTGGTTTTTATTCCCATGAGTTTTGCATATTTTCAACTTGATAAAATGGAATCTCATAGTAGGTGCTCTTCTGTGTTTGGCCTCTTTCACTCAGTATGTTTTTGAGATTCATCCTTTTTACATTTCAGTAGTTTGTTCCTTTTCATTGCTGAGTAGCATTCCAGTGTATGAACATACTACAGCTTGTTTATTCATTTTTCTCTTGATATTTGGGTTGTTTCCAGTTTGAGATATTATGAATAAAGCTCCTATAACATCCTCTATGGATATTTTCATGTCCCTTGTTTAAATTCCAAGGAGTAGAATTGCTGAGTAATAGGCCAGAGATATGCTTAAATTTTTATAAGAAGCCTCCAAATACTTCTTCAAAGTGGTTGTATCATTTTTACTCCCATTGGCAATGTGGGAGATTTCTAGCATCCTTGCCAATATTTGGTACTTTCGTTAAGATTTTATCTGTTCTACAGTATATGTTACGGTATCCCACTGTGGTTTTAATTTGCATGTCCCTGAACACTGACAATATTGAGCATCTTTTCATGTACTTACTATTCACATATTTTCTTTCATGAATTATGTCTGTCCAAGTCTTTTGTCCATTTTCAATTGTGCTATAAATGTATTATTTTATAAAATTTCTTCATACACAAAATATGTGTCTCCTTCATCAGATACATGCTCTGCAAATATTGTCTCCCAGTCTATGGCTTGGCTTTTCATTTTCCTAACAATATCTTTTGAGGAAAAGATTTCAATTTTGATGTGAACGATTTATTCATTTTTTAATAATGGTTAGTGATCTCTGTTCCAAGAAATCTTTTAATTTTAACTTTTACATTTAGTTCTGCAATCCATGTCAAGTTAACTTTTGTGTATGGGGTAGTATGGGTCATGGTTCACTTTTTCTTTGATACAGATATCCAGTTAGATCAGCAACATTGTTGAAAACACCTGTTTTTGCATTCAAGAAAAAAAAATACTGTTTTAAAATTTTCTCTGCATTTTTTCTTTGATCCGTAAGTTATCCATAAGTTTACTGCCTTATTTCCAAATATGTATGGATTGACTAGATATCTATGTTTAGATTTCTAATTATTAATTTCTAACTTAATTCTGTAGGACTTCAAATCTTTTAAACATATTGAAGCCATTTTTATGGCCCAGCATGTGTTTTCTCTTGATGAAAATTCCATGTGCCCTTTAAAAGAATGTGTATTCTGCAGAATATATCTTCCTGTACTGTTCTATAAGAGTCAATTAGGTCAGGCTATTTGATACTTTTTGTTGTTTCTATCTTTCAATCCTTACACTCTTTTTATCTAATTTTCTTAGTAGAGAAAGTTAACATTTCCAGCTATGATTAAAAATTTGCTTATTTTTTCTTTTAATTATGCATATTTCTATTTTGTGCACTTTGAAGCTCTGTTTAGATGCATACATTTTAATTTTTTTTAACATTTATTTATTTTTGAGACAGAGAGAGAGAGCATGAACAGGGAAGGGTCAGAGAAAGAGGGAGACACAGAATCTGAAACAGGCTCCAGGCTCTGAGCTGTCAGCACAGAGCCCGATGCGGGGCTCGAACCCACGGACCGCGAGATCATGACCTGAGCCGAAGTCGGACACTCAACCGACTGAGCCACCCAGGCGCCCCTAGATGCATACATTTTAGAACTGTTACATATTTTTGATGATGAACTAATTCTTTTGACATTATAAAATGTCCATCTTTATCTGTGATAATATGCCTTGTCCTGAAGTCTACTTTGTCTTATTAAATTTTAAATTAATGGATGTACACATACATTATGTTTCTGCTTCTTTTACAAGATGCCATTTCTTCCTAGATATATTTATTAGATATTAAAACTAAATATAAAAATTAGCTACTAAACTTGTGAACCTAGCTCTTCAAAAATGTTCTATAGTTGAATTCCTAATTACCTACAGGAGAAATGAAAATTCTTAATGTTAGGCCTAATACGACAAAGAACCTCTTAAGTCAAGGAATCTAAAAAAGGCCTCAAGATAACCTATTAGAATTTTGTGATTTCTAGAAACTATACTTAAGAATGTTTTTTTACTCTTTTCTCTTGAGTTATCTGAAACTTTTTTCATAAGTCTTATAAATTTAATGTTATCCACTTGTAATAACAGAATGCTAATGTCTCTATTGCTGTAAATTCAAATCTTTATTTCACACATCTAATAAAAATTATCATTAAGAATTTCAAACACTATGAAAGAAAGCTACATTATGATGCTAAATTTAAATGAAAAAATCTGGAAGCTAAAACACACTATAGTTTTTAAAGGATATTTACTTTTCTACATGAAATGATTTTAAATGCAATAGTGTTTTTTTTTTAAGTTTATTTATTTTGAGAGAAAGAGAGAGAGAGAGAGAGAGAGAGCGAGCAGGAGAGGGGCAGAGAGAGTGGGAAAGAGAGAATTGGAAGCAGGCTCCACACTGTCATGGGGCTTGATCCCAAGAACCATGAGATCATGACCTGAGTAGAAGTCAACTGTTACACGCTTAACTGACTAAGCCCCCCAGGCACCCCTCCCACAATAGTATTTCAGTGGAATTTGTTTAGAATAAAAATTCTTAAAGAATCACAACTACTATAATAAAGTAAAACAGTTGTGGCTTAAAAATATTCCATATTGTATAGCACAGGGCTCATACTCACTTAGTTCTCACAACACACCATGCCTCTTCCAAGACGTAATAATTCACATGTAACGCCAACAATTTATCTCTCACTTCTTTTGCAGATTTTCGACTATATGTGGAATAAACTATTTTTGTCCGGGCCCTTTACATTCAAAACACAAGTTAAATGTTTTAAAATAAATTAGAATAGACTAGAGAAATTTTGCTAGCAAATCAAAATCTTAATACTCACTGTATAGAGCATTCATATATTTGACCTCAAGCAGCATGAATGTTTTGGAGATAGCATAGATTATTTTTGGATAGCAGTTTCCACATTCCTACTTAATTGTGCATGTGCTAAACCTTACAGTGGTTGGAATTTTGTATATGCTGCTTGTTAGTGCTTACTGGAACGGGCAGATATAAACTGGTTTAGAGTCTAGAGCTGGGTAGCAGGATAATAGTTCAGAATAAAAAATTTGCTTTGTATAATGCATAAAATAATTAATCTGCTCATGGAACACATTCAGATAGAGGCTGAACGAGTGGAAACGTTTCAACAGATAATTTCATCTGTAGAAGCTCTGAAAAGCATCTGAATTGAAGTTGAAATGTAGCCAATCCAACATTGAGATAGAGGACATCTAGTGTAACAGTCAGGTAGAGAAAATATCTTAATGGAAGTGTGAGAAACTGGATTATTTACCAAAATTTGGTACGAAAGATGATTTGGCCTTAAACAGGTGTTTTTATGAAATCCTGAACAATTATCATTTATGCATTGGGAATTTCTTAAAATTTCAAGCATATGGGATGTCCAATGTCCACAACCAGACATAAAACTTTAAATAATTTAAAATGTTACCTCTAACAATAGGCCAAAGATGCATTAACAGGAAAAGATTACCCTGACAATTACTAAAATGATTAAAATCATTTTTAAAGTCAGTTATTGAAGGAAAACAAAACTTTCACACCTCAGTAAAAACCTGAGTTCTCATAACTGGCTAACAAAAAAAACACCCTAACTGTTCATAAGTGCATATAGTATATAGCAAATTTCATATATTTTTTTTTGTTTTTAAAAAAAACTAGGTATAGACCACCAATAAGAGGGAGAATGGTTTCTTAAATCAGGCAGAGGGGCTTGTGGAGTCCAGAGCAAGGGCTAGCCAACTACGCCCATGGGCCGGACCCATCCCATCTGCCATGACTAGTACTTAGCAGTTCTACTTCAACAGAGACACACATGCAGGCTAGTCATGTGACATCTTCACTCTGAGAAAAATTAACCTTTTTCCTTTTTTCAGAGGTTTATTAAACATCCTTTAGAGTCAACAGGCACATAATTATACTTTCTGGATGGTTATTACACATTTTTCAACTACCATCATGAGTATGAAGATGAGAACATATGCATGTGTATAAAACCTTCCCTATTTCTAAGAGCTGATATAAGTTGTAAGCGTGTCTAGTTGAAACATTTCAATCAGTTGCCAACCTCAAGTCTGCATCCTCATAGTGCGGATGATTCACAATGGGGTGAAGGGTAGACAGCTTGACACTGGCCATTGTAGGCATGGCACCGGCAAAAACAGCATCTGGAAAGCAAGAATATATTCCTTAATGCCATATTTTAAAGAGAACAAAGGTTCTTTTTCATCTATAATATTTGAATTCAAATTAAGAATACAAAATACATTTAAATAATCATCACTGGCACCGTTCTTATTCTTTGCTCAATATTGTCAACTATAATAGGAACCAACTTTGTTATCTCTGCACGAGGAACTGTGTGAAATATTTTTACTAGGATTAAAAAATCTAGCTCGCACAACTCCATAAAGTGGGCTATAGGTTATTCTTGTTTTGTAAATGAGGAAACAGACATCACAGGGGAGACTGACCGGCCCAAGACCACACACCTCGGCAGTGTCCGAGCCCACCCTCTTAGCTGCTTCACTACAGCCTCCTGCCATGGTCAAGCTCAAGGTAAAGATGATACTACAAAAATTTCATATCTCGTCCTGATAATCTGAAATGTTAAGAACTGAGAGACTGTTACAAAGGGCAAGTCTCATGCTACATCTTTTAAAATGACCTTCATGGGCTGTGAACTGTAGTTTCTTAGAAGACAAGAAGACCAAATGCTGACCTCCTGGCACTGTTGTATAATACATTATTATATAATTTTGAAGGTTATTATCATTTTTAATCAGCATAATAAAATCACTAATAAGAACAAGACAGGTCATTCAGGTCTACTGTAAATAACTGTTCGCTTGCAAATATAGTAAGTATTCTAAATGTAACGTCAAATGAAAATCTCTACATAGGAATTAAATTTGCAAATATTTAAGTCAACCAATATAGAAATGTGTATTTATTATCACAAGATTCAATAATTAATGATGGAAAGCTCTTAGGCCAGAGCAGTGGTTCTCAACCAGAGATGATTTTGTTTCCGAGAGACACATGTGGTCAACTTCCGGAGACATTTTTGGTTGGCTCGCTGTGCGGGACAGAGGTGCTACTGGCAACTAGTGGGTAGGAGGAAGGGATGCTGCTAAAACTCTGTGATGCACAGGACACTCCCTAACATCAATAGTGTCAAGGTGGAGAAAACCTGGGCTAGAGGGACCCAAAGCCCAGGGCCACAGTTATCAGGAGGACACGAGGCAGGCCTGTTCAGCAAGAGCTGTAATCACTGAAGAGAAACGATCTGTGGCAGAGATGGGGAGAAATGCTCTATATACTCTTCACTCTAGGTGGTGAGATAAATATGAACACGGTGGGGGAAAGAATATGATATTTTCCTATATGTATACTGAAGTCTCCACATATACTCGACTGACCATATTAGAAAAAAGATCCCTTCTGACTTGACAGAGTCTCACTAATACATGACTTGGTGATTAGACCATGGGCTGGATTTCAGTTCTCACTTGTCCTCTCAACTGAGCACTTTTATGCAGTGCACAAACTATACAACCCTACATGGGGGACCTGAACGTAAGCACTAGTCTCACCCATACTATAGAGCATCATGCTGATTTTAATACACATGTGGTAACCATAAAAGAACCCATAATACGAGGATGAAAAAAAGACTTATAAGAAGATCAAAGAAGAGACAGCTAAAACTGAGGTGGGAGTCCGTGAGAGTTATCTTAGAAGAAGTTGCCAAAGGTAGGCCCTCTCTGCCAGGAACCCAAGATGAACACTGGAACAAAGAAAGACACACTAAAAGATTGAGAAAGTAGGTACCCGGTAAAGCTTGGGACAAATATCTAACTGGGAAGGGATAAGGGAGAGTAAAGGGAGTGGTACTCCTACAGGGAAAATTCACAAGAGGATTAATTTAAAAATTCTGATTAAATCGTCCTGGCAGCTATTGGCGATTTAGGTACTGTCACCTCTGAAAACCAACTATCTGAGCTGAAGCTTATAAAACTTACTTAAACGATGCCTAATCAGTAAAATGGCAACTGTCAAATAAATGATAAGAGCAAACTGACCCAAGGAGTCACAGGATGAATTTAAAGAAGCCATAGTGAACAACTAGTGCCAGAAACAATTACTAAATATCAAAAATAGTTTGGGACAAGATTATAGATTAGTTATAGAAAATACTGTAGAAAACACTTATTCTCTGGAAAGGTTTTTCAACATGAAATAAATAACTTTGCTTGAGGTGGTTCTGGATAAAGATAGGAAGAAAAAAAGGTAAGCTAAAAGTGATATTTTAGAGTATTTAAAAGTAGGATTTATACTCATCTCCTTGAAATGATTTAGTGAAGAAAAAAGAATATCTGAGATTTTAACTCTTCTTGTGCGCGACTGGTTTTACAGAGTTGGATCAGACAGTCAGCACTGACTGAAGTGGAGAAGGAGTGCTGTTGACATTCCCATGGTCAGAAGTACCTTTTCCAATGGCCTGTAACTAGGTGTGGAATTTTGTTATTAAAGATTTCTTTTATTTGTCATTGGTAGAGTTAAAATACAATAATGATCTCAGAGTTATAATATATAACTGTGAACAATCATTAATTCTCCATGTTAATTAAAATTCCTGAGTTATCTAGGAGGCATTTAAAGAGGGCACACAATTGTTTTTTGAAAGGGTTTGATTTGGTGGATGCTGCAATTAGCATGCTCAAAATCTGTGAGTGTATAAATGTCACCATGTGTGTGTATTTTTAAATGTGTGTATGTTACTAACTATACATATAACCAGACAGCTACATACCTGGTCTAGTATTGTATTTGATCCATTGTATCAGTTCTTCCTGAGGCAAATTATTAAATTCTCCTATTATGCTCCATTGATTATGGAGGTTTGCACAACCCTGTATTGACATCACTACTAGAATGCCAAAGATAACATTCTCAAAGCGAACTCTGCAAAAAACCCAGCCGAAGAGCTGAAATGAAAGAAACCATTTATTTTTAATTCTTATATGAAGAGTGCTATAGGGCAGTAAGAAACTCTCACCTTGCTACTTTAACCAAGGTGGATTACCATTTGATACGATCAATGCACTAATAATATACGGAACTGCCATCACCTACTGTTTAAACATAGTAAATATTTTGGAATTACAGGGCCACTAAAAACGGAACTTTCTTTCCTCTCGAAAGAATTAAGGCAGAAATACACCTTACCCTTCTAGTACTGATTTACCACTAAGGATTAAGATCAGTAAATCACAAAATAATGGAATATCCTCGAACTAAGTCCTGTAACATCTGCCTTTCACGGGGCGGGGGGGGGGGGGGGGGGGGCGGTCATCTATGGAAACCCCACTAGCAGAAACACATATTCCTCCTGGAAAAATAAGCATTATGATATTCTAAGACAAGACTCTTATCATCAAAGCTAAGTAAGATGTTTCTAGAAGTGCACTGGTCCCCAAATTCTAGCTACTTTGTATGTAATGGTAACAGAACTCCCAAACTGACAACTTTCCCTCGGGGTTCTTGGAGCCAAACAGGACAATACTAGAGAAATTCACCTGTATCTACTCTAGTATTAGAACATTTGAGGACAGTTTTGATGCGTCAAGAAACTCTTGCACAGACCTGAACTCTAAAAAACTACGTCTGTGGACAGAATACTAACAGAGGGGAAAGTGTGCCTCCTCAGTTGTCATAAAAGTAGCGGTTAAAATCTAAGAATAATTTTCAAAGCTACTCAAAGTTGCTTTTGTTATTCAGAGCTAATCATGAAATAACATTTTAAATAATTTAAACCAAGTTTTCTTATGTTTTGGATTACTCAGCAAAGCCATGGCAACTACCCTGCTGTTACTATAGTTACTACAGTACAGTTACACAAGAATGAACGCCTTACCCGTCGAGAGCACACCAAAGAAGCTACAACACACATGTGAGGTGTTAGAAACAACTTCAGCCTCATAATTAAAATGGCAAGGACAGTGAACGCTAACAGTTGCAATGTGTGAAAAATCAGCTGTAAAAACAAAAAAAAAAATGACAATTTCACTTTATATATTTTTAAATAAATATAAAAAATATTAAAACTATTATCATTTGCTAGGATAAGGATCTTTTAATTGAGTTATAAGTTTGTTAATATTTATTAATTCATTCAACAAGATTTATCAAATGCCTATCATATGCCAGGTACTGTTCTGGGGGCTCTGGATACAGCAGTGAACCAAACAACAGTGAGGCACTGCTGCCCTTGGGAGGCTTACATTTTGGAACATTTATTAAGGAGAAACAAACATGGTCATAGCAACTAAATGGATCCATTACAGAGTCTATTAGAAAGTGGTAAGTTCAGTGAAGAAGCAACTGGACCAAGGAAAGGAGACTGGGAGGACACGGCATGGAGCGAGGCCCCAGGTGGGAGCAGTTGAGACTGCAAGTGGGATCATCAGGGTGGGCCTCATGGGAGAGGTGGTATTTGAACAAGACCCACAAAAGGTGAAGGAGTGAGCCACAGACACATACAAACATGCAGTGCTTCACAAACTTGTGTGTCATTCAGTCACATAGCAAAACAATTTTGTTAAAGTAGTGGAATTACATATATCAATATTTGTACTGATTAGGACTCCCCATTTTTATTAAGATGGGGTTCTACTGAGCAGAGGTTTTAGACAAAACTTTTCTAACAGACATATTCATAAAATATCAACCGATTCTTCACTAGAAAAATAATGCAACCAAAAGTGGAAACTGAATATTCATGTTCTCTCTAATTTTCAAATTAAATATTAAAGATAGCCTCATCTATAAAATTGAAAAATATTAAATCAATGCTGAGTGTTAGAGAAGATGCCACGAAACATACACTGAAATAATTAATTGGTACATTTCTGTAATTTGGCAATATTTATCAAGACACTACTAAGGAGCCAACCCCCCTGAGTTAAATTTCCATTCTAACCTAAGGGAATAATAAAGACAAAAAATGCTTCTACAAAGCTACAGTACAGCACCCAACACAGGGCTTGAACTCACAAACCATGAGGTCATGATCCACGCTCAAGTCCGCTGCTCAACCAACTGAGCCACCCAAGTGCCCCATTTTTCTTTAGTCAAACTCCTCTTTGGACAAAATCATGGGCATGATGTGGAGAGAACAAAAGACATCATTGTATTTCATACCCGAATAGGTCCTTTTGTTTAGGACCATTAAATCACAGATTGGTAGATTACAGGGGCCATCTTCTTTAATCATCTATCCAAAATAGAGATCTCTTCTATAAATCTAAGAACTGGGTATTCACTAATTCCTGAAAAGGAATATGCCAAAGGGAGTTCCTGTTATAATTATGGATAGCTGAAAATGTTAGAAAATCTTTTCTAAAACTGAACCAGTGTCTCTAGTAATTTCCACATCTCTGCAACTACACAAAATTAGTCTAAACCCATTCACACATGACAGTTCTCTATTATCCAAATACTGTAATCATGACTTTGCACTAACCCCACCTTTACCCTTAGAAAGCTTTCTAGTTTTAAGCAAAATATTCAGAAACTTGGATCACTGTTCTGTATTGCCACAATTCTGGTTCCCTTGCTCTGGACATGGTACAAACTACCCATGTTTTTGTTAAAATGTGGCATCTAGAAATAGACTACCATAGATATGGTCTAATTAATGCAAGTACACATGACTTCTCCCAATATGCCTTCCTTTGGTTATTCTGAGCCACAGATGAGACTATCATGGTCTCTCCTAAATCCCATCACTTCTACTTTATTTTTCCATCATTTCTTCTTAGGACCAACTTCTCATGTGACCAAAATTAATCCAAAGTAATAATTCTTCTTGACTTTCCTCTATCATCTAAAGGCTGAAAGGACTTTGCTTTCATGGGGAGACCTGAAAGATCCCTACCATTTCCTTATCTTCCCTGCATACTGCTTTTTGTGGGTGCATGACATAGAACAGACATCCCAAATGGCACCACTTATGTTTATTTTTTATTGTCATCCACACGCTCCAACCACTCTTCTACTCACAGGCTACTGACTTTCTGTGGAGCTCTCTTGCCAGTTATTTGACCTTCTAAACTATCAAATAGCTTTCTTTTTAACTACCAAATGGAAGACAGAAGGTTACAGTCAAAAAGTACAATTCAGGAGGCACCTAGGTGTCTCAGTTGGTTAAGTATCTGACTTTGGCTCAGGTCATGATCTTATGGTTCGTGGGTTTGAGCCCTGCATCAGGTTTTGTGCTAACAGCTCAGGGCCTGGAGCCTGCTTCAGATTCTCTGTCTCTCTCTCTCTGTGCCCCTCCCTGACTCATGCTCTGTCTCTCAAAAACGATAAATGTTAAAAAAAATTAAAAAGTACAGTTCAGGTGTGCCTGGGTGGCTTAGTCAGTTAAGCATCTGACTCTTGATCTTGGCTCAGATCACGATCTCACAGTTTGTGAGTTCAAGCTCTTCATCCGCCTCTGTGCTGGGGGCATGGGGCCATCCCTCTCTCCGCCCCTCCCCCAGCTCTTTCTCTCTCTCAAAATAAATAAACTTAAAAAAAAAATTACAGTCCAAAAATCTGTACTATAAGTACAGTGTCGTCAATTCGTTAGTACTTCCGTCCACATAAAAAACTAGGAAAATCCTCACAACATCTTTTAGAGGCTGGAAACAAGGAAAGAAGAGAAGCCCAGCAAAGTGTTCACTACCCATCTTTGGAGTAAGTGAGCCAACTGGGTAAAGTGTGAAGTAGCAGCTACCAAGCACAAAGAAAACAAAGACTAAGTACGGAAGGCCAGTCCAAGTGGCAGATTGTCCTGGTCAAAACTACCTCCCACAACAATGTAAAAATGTCTTGAGAACATGGTAGGGATGCCCTTCACCGGCACAGGTAACAGAGGGCAGACAAAAGGTCCAAAAGGCACACAAATTTAAAAGTGGGAATTTACACAGCGTTTAACTGATACTAGGCATTATTCTAAGTATCTTACATGGAACTCATTTAATCCCATAGCCACCATATGAGCTAAGTGCTGTTATTACTGCTGTTGTTTTGGTTGTTCCCAAAAAGATGTAAAGTAACTTGGCTAAGATCACAAAGCCAGTAAATGGAAGAACAAGGATGTGAGGCCAGCCAGATCCTAGGTCTGTGTCTTTAACCACTGTACTTCCTCTCCAAACAATACACTATCAACCACATGGTTCTGTTAGTCCATGGACACAGACTTGTACAGACCCCAACATATATCACTCAATCCATTTCTTCAAAAGAAGTAATTCTCCCCCCAGTTCTGTATTACTTCACTCCTTCAATAGGATACCTCTATATTGGTTCAGACAGCTTCAGCTGTATGTCACAAAAAACTCTCTGGCTGGCTGTAGAAAAACTTTACTTATGATAAAAAACACAAACTCAACGTACTTAAAATATAAAGAATCAAATATAAACTAATGAAATTGGTTAGGGATTGGGAAAAGAGTGAAGGCTGATACAGGACTGGCCATCATGGACAAAAGGAGGTATGAGTGGGTCAAAAGAATATTCAGGATTGAACACCCTCAGTGTTATCCCTCCCTCGCCTATCTTCACAGTAGCTCCTCATTGATACTATAACATTCTGGCAATAAATATTGTTTCTAACTCTTTCCCCTCTTTTTCTTTCCTGCGAATTACTAGGTACTCCACCAATTTCTAAGCCCATAAAATAGAAAAATTGGTTAAAAGAAACCAACTTATGAAATAAATAAAATACAGATAAATACATTAAATTGGGAGGAAAAAATCACCACAGAATCCTTTCATCTAACAAAGTTTGCCAATTATCATGACACTACAGAGGTAACCCAGGGATTTATTTAATGAGGTGAAGGTTGTGGACTGCCCCGGATTCAGAGGGTTGGCACAAAGCAAGGAATATACTCTCTTTAGTTTAAAAAAATTAACAGATTTGCTATCACTGTCTTTTAGCCTGCTTGACTTCTGATTGCCTTTTAAAAAGCTATCCTCTCTTATGTGAGTTCGAGCCCTGCATCGGGCTCTGTGCTGACTGCTCAGAGCCTGGAGCCTGTTTCAGTTTCTGTGTCTCCCTCTCTCTCTGACCCTCCCCCGTTCATGCTCTGTCTCTCTCTGTCTCAAAAAAAATAAACGTTAAAAAAAATAAAAAAATAAATAAAAAGCTATCCTCTCTACTGCCAACAGGGCGAAAATATCTACAACTCAGATCTGACTATACCACCTCTCCTAAACAATAAAGTCCAGGAGACAGTCCAGTGTCTTTGCATACAAAATCACCAGAGTCTGAACCTGGGTCGTTTCCTGCTACTTCTTGCCTTCTCCATGCATCAGCAATACTGATTTGCCTGCAGCTCTGAACATAACTTACTACTTTATGGCTTCCTTATACACGCACATGCTTTGACCTTGGAAAACTCCTCCTCTAAGGTCATTAATAAAATCTTTCCCTAACTACCCCTATCTCCTCCCCACAGATTTAATCACTCCTTCTGCACTACTGGTCTATCTACTTCCTCCGTCATGGCACATATAATGAGGTGTTCACGTTGCTTGTCTTCCTCCACTATACATTAAATTCCATGAATGCACAGACCTGGTGTACAGGTGCACATAATAAAGATTGAGCGGATTAGTATACAGAGTTAACAGAAAAAATTAAAATGGGTAAAAAAAAGATAAATGGAGAAATGAAAGACAAGAAGAAAGCAAAAGAAATGTGAAAAATGAGGGCAGAAAATTAAGGAATACTGTGTTTCTAAAAAGAGGTGGATTTTATTTTTTTTATTTTGCTATTTAAGTTTATTTATCTATTTTGAGAGAGCGAGTAGGGGAGGGGTGGAGAGAGAGGGAGTGAGCAAGAAACCCAAGCGGCAACAGCATGGAGCCCAATGTGGAGCTCAAACCTATGAGCTGTGAGATCATGCATGACCTGAGCCAAAACCAAGAGTCAGATGCTTAATGGACTGAGCCATCCAGGTGCCCCAAGGTGGGTTTTAAATACAGTATAATAAAATATGAAGTATGAATGTGCGCCACTAAATAAAGTGGACAATGTGACATGGCTGACTTGCATAAGAGCAGCTCACGTTAGGTGGTAGCATGTGGTGAACGATTAACAGCACGGACTCTGCTGCTACATGGCCTGGGTTCATGGCCCTTGGTTCCACAAAGCTAAGGTCATTTCAGCTTTGCGACCCTAAGTTACTCAACTTCTCCATGCCTCAGTTCTCTTTCACCTGTAAGATATACAAAATAATAGTACTTACCTCAATGGGCTGTTGTGAGAATTAAGTTATAAAGAGACATAAATCACTTCCCCAAAATGCCATGCACACAGGAAGCAGTAAGGGCTGACTACTACTTTGAGGGCATTGGAGACAGACTGCTAGTGTTCAAATGCAAGCTTTAGTAACAAATAGCTGTAGACCTGACAAAAGCTATTTAATTTCTTTAGGTCTTCACTCCGTGGCCCAGACCTCTTTGCTTTTCTTCTCAGACAGGCAGCTAGACTTCATTTCCCAAGCTCCCCGGCAGTCAGGCGTGGCCGCATGCCTGAGTTCCAGCTGCAGGCAGGAAGTTCACATTTCCATTTCCAGGCCTAGCCCTTACAAAACCTCCAGAGCACCCTCTTCCCTCTTCTTTCTCCTTTGCTGATTCAATGCAGACCAGCGCATCGATCCTCCAGTGCAGGCTCTTCCCTGTTCCTTCTCCTGTGCTGACATGAGGCAGACAAGTACATGGGCCCCAGAAGCCACACGCTGAAGATGGCAGAGTTATAAATGGAAGGAATCTGGGTTCCTCAATCACTGCCTGTTGGAGGGCCACCTGCTAACCAGGAACTCCTAGTTTTAACTTTATGTCAGCAAACAATTAAACTTCTACTGAGTTAAGTTACTGAAATGTTAGTGTTTGTCTCCGTAAAAGCTACTATCATCTAATTAACATAATTTTCTTATTTGCGAAGTGGGAATAATATTATGAGAATTAAACAGCACAGTACATGGCACATAGTAACTACTATAAAATATTCATTATCATTATAGGCTGTTTTCATTAGGTTCAAATTCAATTGCCCTCTCTTGTAAATTTGACCTTACCCTTAAGACTCAAAGTGCTAATACTTAGAAAATCTTATTTCTAGCCCCTGATGAGCTTTCTCTTCATATGCCACAAAATAATTTAGCACCATATAAAATGTTGTCTTGTTTGCATCATGTCTGTTGAAAAACTATACACATTTGAGGGCAGAAACATTGCTATTCCACCTTCTGTGTCCGGGAACACTGCTAAGATTGTAGCTGACTGACCATCAAGTCCATGTGTGGCAGCAGGCCACGAGTCACAGGGCCACGGGTATCCACCTGGATAGGCTCTAGCTGACTAGAGCTATAGGCTCAGTGGGCTAGGAATTTAATGCTTTTATTATTGAACGGATAAAAGAATGAATGAATTAATGAAGGTAATTTAATTATGCTCCGTGGTCATCAATGAGCCTTCTGGTTTTCAAATCCTTCCTACTGTTCAAAAGAGCAGACGGAAGCATGGGAAGGATTGCCAAAATGTATTACCAGTGCTGAACCACAGAAGCACGACTGACAGTGCAAGGCAGTACCTTTGTGAATTACCCTTGAACTAGAATTTAACACACAAATATAGCAGAGATTAAAATGAAAGCCTTACCTCACCATGTTCAAGGAGCTGTTTTCTGGAATAAAAAACATTCTGTATTTATTGAATGTCCACTATGATTACATAAAAATAAACTGCATTTATTTGTTCTTAGATTTAAAAAATTTGATTCTCTCTAAACTATTCAGTAACATGAATAAAAAAAATAAAAATGTTAGACAATATCACTAAAAATTACAGCAATATGAAGGCAGGATTGACAGTTATCCTATTTAAGGTATATAAAAAAGCCATGCTTTGGTTAAGATAAAATAGGTTTTACTGATTGCAGGAGATTGTACCTCTGTGTGAATTTTTAAAAAAGAATTTATATTAAATATTCAACCATGACAAGCATATATATTGTTTTAGATAAGTACTGCTGGACTTTTGAGTTACTTTCATTTTTGACAACTGTAAGTACCATGAACATCCTTGTACATAAAACCCTGAGCATCCCTGAATACTTCCTTAGGATAAATTTCTAGAATAAACCTTATTGGGTAAAACATATAAATATTTTTATTTCCAGAAAAGCTTATGTCTAAAAGTTCACAAGATTTGTATGGTGTACCTACTGAGCTCTAGGCACTGTGCAGGGAACACGGCATTAACAGTGTAAACATTGCCCTTCTCCTCTTAGGCTGCATTTTAGACTCACACAACAGGTACAGAACTATTTCATTGTTCCACTGAGAAGACTGGAGACTTCAGTTTTACATGCAGAGAGGCCTTCTTCTAATATGGATTTGGGGTTGGAGAGAAAAGTTACACAGTTTAAGTAAGAAAGTACGAAGTAAGGGAAGTTCAAGGGCACACACAGATCCAGAGATTTTTTTTACTTTTTATTTTTTATTTTTAAAGGCTGGTCAGGGGAAGGCTTGTCAGGAAAGCATTGCAATCACCAAATTACTCTGCTTCCATTGAGGCCCCTTCCTGACTTGCTCAGTGCAGGGAGGGGCCAGGGGGTGTGGCTTCCCACTGGTCCTGAAATCTGGGCACAACAGAATGCTGCAGTGAATTGCCTTGTGCAGAGGAGAGGCCTTGAGAATAGCCACTGATGTGAATAAATCTAGCAGCTAATTTAAAATGTGAATATACAACCAAATCTGCAAACAGAAAAATTAATAGATAAAAATTAAAGAAATTAAATTGATAAAAAGCAACAACAGATTTTCAAAAAAGAGAGGCTAAGCACAAGATGAAGAGACCCTACAATTCTCTGAGGTAAAGAAAGATGTGAATGTTCAGATTTAAATGTCCTACAAGTTAACAAACATGTAAAGTACACACACAGCCACACGTACATATGCACATGCATATCTTAAAACTCTATAAATTTCCAGAGAGCAAAACTTTATATAAAATTTCTCATGTGTAGGGGCTCAGTTGGTTGAGCGTCCAACTCTTGATTTTGGCTCAGGTCATGATCTCACCGTTCATGGGTTTGAGCCCTGGCTCAGGCTGTGTGCTGACAGCATGGAGTCTGCTTGGGATTCTCTCTCTTCCTTTCTGCCCCTCCCCAGCCTATGTACTCTCTCGCACTCTCTCTCTTAAAATAAACAAACTTAAAAAAATTCTTATCTGTAATGCTCAATGCTAGAAAACGATAAAGCAACATCTACAAAATGCTGAAAAAAATTCCAGGAATACCTATTAAACAAACCATCAACTTAATGTGAGGGCTAAGTAAAGGTATTTTTCAAACAAGAAAGCACTCAGAAACCCTTGGGAGGAAAACACTGCGGCACCACTCCCAGCAGGAGCTGCCGTTGCACCGCTCTGGAGGCAGGGCTGCCGTCCCGCACAAGCCCTCACACAAGCCCTGTGCATATCAGGTAGAGAGACATGGCCACTCTGCGTACACCAGCATTTCAGACCTCTGTGGCTGCTCTGCAAACACCAATGCCTCAGGTGTGAAACCAATGCTGCTGCAGGCTAGCCAGAACCCCAGACCCATTGTTGCTTTATGAGTGCCTGCACTCCAGACCCCAGCCTTGCGGTCATTTGATGCACATCCGTGTCCTGCAAATTGTCACCAACGTGAGCCAGCCACGTTCAGCCAGTGCCCCGCACCCTGAAGCCATTGTTTCTCCATGAATGCCCAGGCTGCAGTCCCCGAATTGTGCCTGCTCCACGTACACTCACATCTTAGGAACCAGATTCACCACTACAGGGGGCTAGCCAGAACTGCTGGAGCCCAGAGCCGCCATTGCTCTGCAAGCACACGAGTTCCAATCCCCAGGAACACAGCTGTCCCATGGTCACCCACGCATCAAACACCACTGCCACCACGACCACAAGGGCACCCACAAGACAAACCCAGTGCCAAAGGAGATACCGGTGGTCAAGATACCTTGACCACAACGTGCACCATGGGAGAAAAGATCAAGTGGTCCCCAGAAGTTTCACCACTGCAGATCCCAGCAGATGACCACCATTACAGACATCCACAGCCTTGCTCATTGAAGATGCCTGCAATCTTCACTGACGCTAACCTCAGCTGATAGAGCTGCACAAATACTACAGTGTTGAGCCTTCCCCAAGAATGGAAACAGCACACCTTACCTGGCTCCTTGCACCCACCTGCAGGTAAAGGTCTTTCCTCACCAAACCAGACCCTAAAATCTGAAAGAGGTGATTGCTCCATGAAATTGAAGAGATCAAGGCAAGGCTACAAGAAATGAAAAATCACGGAAGTGTAACACAGTCAAAGGAACACAATCATTTTCCAGTAACTGACCCCACAGAAATGGAGATCTATGAATTGCCAAAGAATTCAAAATAATTGTTTTAAGAAAGATCAGTGAACTACAGAGAGTGCAGACAACTAAATAAAATTAGGAAAACAATACATGAATAAAACAAGAAGTTCAACAGCTAGAAACTATAAAAAGAACCAAACAAATTCTAGAGCCAAAAAATACAATAAATTAAATGAAAAATGCAATATACAGCATCAATACCATACCTGATCAAGCAGAAGCAAAAACATGGGAACTTGAACAGTGATTAATTTGAAATTACCAGTGAGAAGAGAAAAAAAAAAAGAATGAAAATGAGTGAAGAACGTTTATGTGAATTATGGAACACCATCAGAAGAAACAATATTTATATTATGGCAGTCCAACAAGGAGAAGAGAAAGGACAGGAATCTTATTTAAAGATCAGCTGAGGGGCGCCTGGGTGGCTCAGTCGGTTAAGCGTCCGACTTCAGCTCAGGTCACGATCTCGCGGTCCGTGAGTTCGAGCCCCGCGTCGGGCTCTGTGCTGACAGCTCAGAGCCTGGAGCCTGTTTCAGATTCTGTGTCTCCCTCTCTCTGACCCTCCCCCGTTCATGCTCTGTCTCTCTCTGTCTCAAAAAATAAATAAACGTTAAAAAAAAAAATTAAAAAAAAAAAATAAAGATCAGCTGAAAACTTGCCAAATCTGGAGAGATCTAGATATCCAAGCACATGAGGCTCCAGGTACCAATACAAATTAACCCCCCCCCCCAATTCACTAGACCCATCATAATGAAATTGTCAAAACGAAAGACAAAGAATAAACTGTCAAAGCAGTAATTATCTCATACAAGGGAACCCCCCTAAGGCCATTAGCAGATTTCTCAGCAGAAACCTTGCAGGTCAGGAGAGGATAAGATGTTATATTCAAAATGCTCACACTAAAAAATCTGCCAACAAAGCAGGGCATCTGGGTGGCTCAGGTGGTTAAGCGCCTGACTTGATTTCGGCTCAGGTCACGATCTCATGGTGAGACCAAGCCCATGCTGGGTTCTCTGCTGCTGGTGCAGAGTCTGCTTAGAATTCTCTTTCTCCCCCTCCCTCTCTCTCAAAAATAAGAAATCTAAAAAAAATCTTCCAACTAAGAATACTTTACCCAACAATGCTATCCCTCAGATAAAATGAAATAACTTTCTCAGACAAACAAAAGCTGAGTGAGTTCATCACCACTAGACTTGCCTTAAAAAAATGCTAAAGGAAGTTATTTATGCCACAATGAAAGAATGCTAATTAGTAACCTAAACATATATGAAAATATGAAACTCACTGTAAAGTTAACTACACAAATTAGGAATACTCTAATGTTGTAATAGTGGTATATAATCACTTAACTCTAGCATAAAGGTAAAAAGACAAAAGTATTTAAAAATAAATAGAGCCGTAATAATTTGTTAATGGATACCACACAGAAAGATCTAAATTGTGACATCAAAAGGATAAAAAGGGGAAGTGAAAGAAAAAAGCTGAGATTTTGTATGTGATTGAAGTTAAGTTTTTATTGGCTTAAAAGAGACACTTACAAGATGTATTATGTAATAAGCCTCATGAGAACCATAAAGCAAACAACTACAGTAGATACACAAAAGATTAAGAGAAAGGAAACAAAGCATACCAGTATGGAAAAGGAAGACAGCATGAGAAGAAAGGAACTATGAAACAGAAAGCATCTAGGTGGCAAAACAAGTCCTTATCTATCAACAATTATTTTATTTTATTTTATTTATTTATTTATTTTTTATTTATATATGAAATTTATTGTCAAATTGGTTTCCATACAACACCCAGTGCTCATCCCAAAAGGTGCCCTCCTCAATACTCATCACCCACCCTCTCCTCCCCCCCACCCCCCATCAACC